TTGACAGTGGTAGCCAGGCACTATCTTGTTCTTCTGACCTCATAGTCAGATAGGCTGAGGATCGCATCGTGTACCAGTCCCTTGGACTAATTGTTGTCATGCATCTTTGGTTTTCTTCATTGTTCTTTGCTCTGGGTGAGGAGAGAACCATCATTGCATTTAGATGGCTGCTTGTAAGCTTTTAAAATCCCTGTCACTACTTGCCAAAGTAGGACGTCGAACAATGTTTCTGTGTAGTATGTTATGGCAATTGAGCTTGATATTCCCTGAGACCATGGTCTCGAGCCCACAGGTCCAACTACTCACACTCTCTGGGTAGCTGGCTGTGGCCAAGAAGTGACTACAACCTTGTCCCTTGTCAGCTCTACTATATACCTGGACATTCTTACATAACATACAAATACATTTGTAGAAACATTGTCTGCGAACCCTATACATGGTCATGGGCACACTCCCCCCTGCATAGACATAGCTGATTGTTCAGCCTGTCCACCCATCTATCCACCTGTAGATCAATGTTTGTCATCATTGACAACACTGTACTGCAAGTGCAAAAGGGTTCATCTTTGTTGTCTGTACCTCCCATGTACCTCTCTGTGTCTTCCTCTTCCTCAATGTCACAGTGTTGATCACTCACATTTGGTGCATTGCCCTTCTCTTCATTCAAATCAATACTTGTCTCTACCTATCTAGCAGTATTACCTCCCCTGCCTTCCCACTCCTGCTAACCAACAAAGAAAGTTTCTTTCCATATATAAAGCTTCCCTTGACTTTTTACAATAACAGACTAATATAATATTTGTCTTTCTGTGATTGAGTTATTTCACTCAGTGTAATATCCTCCAAGTTCATCCATGTTAGGCAGTATTTTGCAGATTCTACATTATTCTTTAGAGTTGCATAGTATTCCATTGTGTGTATGTACCATAGTTTGGTTATCCATTCTATAGATGGGCACCTAGGTTGTTTTCATCTTTTGGCTACTGTAAATAATACTGCCATGAACATGTGTGTGCATATATCTGTTCTTGTCCTGGCTCTGACTTTCTTAGGATATATACCTAGTAATGAAATTGCTGGGTCAAATGGTATTCCTAATTCCAACTTTTTGAGAAATCGCGATACTGCTTCCCACAGTGGTTGTATCATTTTACAGTCTCCAAAGGGTTTTTAATGGCTGATCTTTTGGAATTATACTGTCAGGCCTTTCCTTCCTCTGGGAGGTCCTAAACCACCAACCTTTTAGTTAGCAGATGACCACGTCAACCATTTACATCACCCTCAAACTCCTTCGCTTGTATAGATACTATTTATAGATACTATTTATTTAAGAAACTAGCAGTGTTGTTAAGATGATAATCTTAGAAATAGTCGCATGACCCCAAAGAAAATAATTTTCCTAGTGTATCAAAACTTTCTTTTTTTTATAAGATCACTGTAATATAATATTTAGGTCTCTAACTCTTGACTAGGCCAAATAAGCAACAGTTTATATAGACATTATTCCTTTTATGCTACTTCTATCTTTTCCACCCTTTTTCTGGGTGTTCTTTTTGAACCTTGCATAACAGCATCAGGGAAATGACAACAGAGAATCTGTATTCAATTCAACTGAAATAGATGCTGACTTTATCCTATTATTTAAGATGTGCTGGAGTATCACTTTGGATACAGAGTAGGCGCCAATGGTTTTTGTCTAAATTAAAGTACACCTACTCCTCACTATCTAACTAACTATCTACTTATCAGATATTTCACATTTATAACTTTGAAAAGATTTCCAGGCAGCACTTTGATGGTCGGGGCCCCATGCAGCCACTCCAAATGATATACTGGAGGACTCAGCAATGATGAGGGATGGCAGCTGACTGGCTGTGGGATGCCTTCTCCCATTCTTCTGTGATATCCCAGTGTGGCCATGGAGGGTGCAAGGTAATTGGGGGAGGGTGTGTAATAAATATGAAGTCACAGGTGGCCAGAAGGACAGGTGAGATCCCAAAGTTGCCAGGGAAGTCAGTGGGGGGGGGGAGGTGGGTAGAGAGGCAGAGGGAAATGGGCTGCATTGGGCTATGGGGCTGGGGTAGGCAGAAGATGAGCAGGGTCCCTGCCCAGGGTGAGTGGCAGGTCACTTAATCATACACCCCTCCCTCCATCCCCTGCACATTCTGCAGCGGTGGGAAAAGTGTGGTGGAGAAGGGGCAATTGCAGTGACAAGCACATTACCATATGAGCTGGGGCACCTGACATGCAATGAGCAATGGGGTGGGGGTAGGGGCACCAGGGCCAAAGACAGCATCCCTGACTCTCTCATGATGTCAATTTTGCAGAACAACTTGGTCTTTGGAATCTGTCTCGATAAGTGAGGAGTGAGAGTACTGTATATTTAATTCAGCCCCTCATGTGAAGTCATTCAGAGCTGAAGGGATATTCTTACCACATTAAAATTAAAAGCTATATAAATTGTAGCTACTTGGAAAGGACCTTCTTATTTATTTTGTGCATAATATTCTAAAATGGACAAAATAAAAAAGATCTATTTTTATTGAAAATTGTACAGCAATTCAACTTTAATGTGATTTTATAACCTACGTTCAGAACTGAATTTTGTTTTCCTTTGGTAATTTTTAAATGATAGAATTCATATTTTGGATACACATGGATTTCATTTTTCCTGTAACTATAGATGGGAGGGTTGTAAACTTAATATTTTCCAACCATCTAGTTCACAGATGCATTTCCATATTACCTGTCACTATGGAATCAGTTAGTTCCTAAAAAAATCTTTCAGGCAGGATTAATCTCCTATCACAGAGGGTGTGGGTATCATATCAGACTCAAATATGTCAATCACACAGGGCTACGTAGAGACAATGAAAATGATGCAATTTTCATGAAACTCTAGTAACTTAAACTATAATTTCCATCAATGTATTTTATTTAGGATTTGTTTTTATGTGCCTAAGGTTAGGTGAAAAGTGTATAATACAAAATAAGGAAAATATAAAGCTTAAAAGTAATTATTTTCCTCAAAATAAGCCCTATGTACTTCACAGAAAGTAAAAGTCAAATAAAAAATATTAAAGTACTTTGAAAAGTATAAAGTATTATATAAAAAAGAATTATCATTTTTGTTTATACTTATATCTGAGAGGCCAATGTGATTTCTATTTAATTTAATACTTTTCTTCTTATATAGAAATTTGAAAAAAAAGTAATAAAGTCTTTTATAATGCACTATGTATCATCTTTTGCATGGTAGAAGTTAAGTAGTGGCACATAATCTTGTATATTGAGTATTCAAAGTGGTAAAACCTTTTGATCCTTTCTCCTAGCTTCTTGGTTCATATGCCCTTAATCAAGTCTTTTGGCCTGGAGTCTCATTGTCTCCATTTATAGTATATGGATATATCTTGCTCTTCCAAACAAGGAAAATATTTTTTTGACATTTTTTTTTTCTATTTATGTTAGATTATTTTTATTTCTGGGCTTCATAAAATATTTCCTTTGAAATATGCATTTTGATGTTAGGATTCCTACATAAATGAATAGTTATTCTTAAGCACAAGAGAAGACTAGAAGGAACCAGCCAATATCTAATGTAATGCTGGGAAGTTAATTTATAATCCATTTATAGACTTGAGATCCACCTGGCTCTGTCTTGGAGTGGTAATCTCCAAGTATCAAAGAAATGTAGAGATCCGCAGCAAAAGTAATTAAATGAAATCCCTTTCCACTTATGATTTTACTCTTATGGGATATCAAAAGGGATCCAAACAGCCCATTGCTTTCCTTATTACCATCTGTTTCCTTTATTCTCCATTTTCTTCACAACTGCAGCTACTCTAAACTAATCTCTTCAAATGCCTCTGGAATAAAACATCCTTACAGTATACTTATCTTTTATTTATTTTTTTCCATCCTCTATCTCAACTTTTTTATTTTGATAGTGATTTCTTCTTCTAACATAGATTTTTTTCCCTGCTTTTCTCTATAGAACTGAGAGATGAGAGAAATATTATGACTTCAAAGGTCATTTGTCTGGTAGGAGTGAGTAAGCTGTGAGCACTTTCATATTAACAGTTCTTATGTCATTACCCTTTATTGATAACAGATACTTTAGTAGTTATATTTCATTAAGTTCCTTTAGCCAATGTCCACTTGGAGCAAATCTCTTAAGTGAATATGAATGTTTTCCCCATAATGACTTCTAGAAATATGTTAACTGTATGCATAAATTCAGGGTGAAACAGGTGAAAGAGCGAAGATGCCCAGAGATCACTGAAAGAGTGACTATATGAAATTTTTGAGCTCATGTGTTAGTAGCAACAGTTTAGAGAAAAGGATATAGTATGTGATGCTGTGGTAAAACTAAAAAAATGGTTTGGTCACTGAAAAGATAAGAACATCAGAGCAAAAAAGGATATCAGTATTTAAAGATATGAGTTAAAAGGAAGGCAGGCATGAAAATAAATAAGTAATTAGGATTGTAACACTTTTCTAATTTTTTTTATCTACATAAAATGAGAGAAAAAAACTTTTTTCATTTTTAGTAATATAATACGGACAGAATTTTTTCTCTTGCCAAGCATGGAAGATCCCTTGATATAATTCTTAAACATCAAGTCAGAGTTCCAGTAAAGTTTTCCTTCTGGAAGGCAATTACAGAAGCTTGTTTTCATATGTTACCAAAATGTATTAGATCTGTTAGCAGCATCAGGCAGGAGACATACACCGTAACCTTCCTAGATGACTGGCAATATAACTATTCTGAAGAAAAATGTTCCCACTAACTTTCCCTCCCCTCAAACTTATTTCTATCATATTATCAACAGATGAGAGTTGTGCTTAACAGAATACATCTCTGGTTTAAAAAATAAAACAAAACAAACAAACCACCACCAACAACAAAAACCTCTGCAGACAGAGAGACACGGTAATAAAGCATTAAACAGGAGTTTCTATGTCAGAGTCCATCAAAGAAAAACAAACAAATGGCTCACCTTTATATACAATGGCTCCCTAAGATGATCGACAAGAATGCAAGCTTTTTCCTCCCACACAGGATTGAGGTTCTTGTGTATTATTTTACTTCTAAAAACTTCTTTTCCTCCAATTTTAAACTTCACGTATGGATCACTTGTCCCTGTTAAAGAGATATAGATTGATCTATGTTAATCATGTTTTTTCTTTGGAAGCAAGAGAATAATAACTGACCTAAACAGCAGGAAATATTTAAAAGAATAAAGTTAATGAAACTTATCACATGGCAATACCAGATTTAAGGGCTTTTCCTCAATTTTTCCTTATATTTTGAAAAGACCCTAAATCATTATTATAATTAATATTATTAGTAGTAATATTTTATCTTTTGACAGGTTTTATCTTCTGATCTTAATACCATAATTTTGTCCTGGTATTTAAAAATCTCTTTTTTAGATGCTGCATATGTAACTTTAACTCACATTATAAATCATAGAGATTATTCTGACATTTCTCTTTGTTTCACCTGATTGACTATAAAAAGGATGATCAAAGTTCTTGACTGATGTAACTAGTTTCAAAGACTTATATATGCTGCTAAAATTTTATATTGGCCTAATGGATTTAGGGGAATGTGAGTCTCAAATTGAGCTCCAATTTCATCCTTGGTCCCATATTCTCTCTTGCACAGAACTTTTCAATTTTAGAATGTTAGGAAGAGACGGGGGTCTCAGAGGAAGAGGTCAGGGAGAAAGGTACAAATATTTATTAAATAAGCTGTTACTATTTCTTAGTCCGTTCCAAGCTCCCTATAATGATAAAAAAAAAATCAGAGATGTCAAATAAATTCCTATAGATACACAGCTAATAAGAAGTGGAATTAGAATTCCAACCAAGATTGTTTGAACCTAATGCCTGAGTATTTTCTACCACATTTGCAAGAGAGAAGAAGACTTATGATAGTTAATTTTTTGTCAATTATATGATGGTCAATTTGGCTAGGCTATGGTGCCCAATTGTTCCGTCAAATATTAGTCTAAATGTTTCTATGAAAGTATATGTATGTGATTATCATTTAAATCAGTTGACTTTAAGTAAAGCAGATCACCCTCCATAATGTTGGTGGGTCTCATTCAATCAATTGAAGGCCTTAAGGGCAAAAGCAGATCTACCAAGAAAGAAGCATTCTACATCAAGACCGTAAATAGACATTCTGCCAGAATTTCCAGCTTGCATCCTAGCTAGAAATTTTGGACACAAGACTACCTAAGATTCCAGGCTGTTACCATATCTATGGATTTTGGACTTAGAGGTTCCCAGAGTCATGTGAACAGTTTCCTTAAAATAAATCTCTCTCTCCCTCTTTTTCTGACAGAACAATAACATAGTTTTGATTATTTTCAGGATCCTGCAATTCCATATGAATTTGAGCATTAGCCTTTTTCATTTCTGCCAAAAAGTTGTTGGAATTTTGATGGAGACCGTGTTGAATCTGTAGATTACTTTGGGTAGCAGTGACATTTTAACAATATTAAGTTGTGTAATCCATGTACACAGGATCTCCTTTCATTTATTTAGATCTTCTTTGTTTCAGCAATCTTTTAGAGTTTTCAGTATACAATCTTTCACTTGCCTGGTTAAATTATTACTAATCACCAAACCTAATTCATTGCCATTGAGTCAATTCCTACTCATAGCAACCCCCACTGGGTTTTCAAGACTATGAATCTTTATAGAAGCAGATTGCCTCATGTTTCTTCCATGGAGTGGCTGGTGGGTTTGAACCACTGACTTTTTTGGTTAAGCAGCCAAATGCCTTAACCACTACACCACCAAAGCCAAACTCACTGCTGTTGCATCGATTCTGACTCATAGTGACCCCTCCTTGGGTTTCCAAGGTGGTATCTCTACAGAAGTCGATTGCCCAGTTTTCCTTCCAAGGAATGGCTACCGAGTTTGAGCCACCAGCCTTCTGGTTAGCAGTCAAATGCCTTAGACACTATACCACCAGAGCTCCCTACTATACCACCAGAACTTAAATTATTCCTAGGTATTTTATAATTTAGATGATATTGTAAGTGGAATTGCTTTATTTACCTTTCAGATTGTTCATTGCTGCTGCACATATTTTGTGGGGTGCTAAAATATATGTATAGATTTGAATCTTCATTTGAATTAATTTAAATTTTCTTAGTTATGTCCCAGGCCAAGTTATTTTTACTGATTTTGAAAATCATCTATGCTAGTACTACAACCTGCTAAAATATAATAAGCTCCATAAGATCAGAGCCATGTGAATCACTATTTCTTCAGCACTTGGTACATAATCAGGCATTTTATGGGGCCCTCAATAAACATTTGATCGATACTGAATAAATGAATGACTTGCTGACTAAATGATGTAGGGGTTTGGGAGGTGGTGTTTAAATTTATTTGAAGAAAATAAAACATGGGAATCCCTAAGTGAGATTTCATAGCTCTCTATTTCAAGTAGTCTCAAGCATCGTGGTATCATCTTTAAAAAATGAAGGCTCTGCCACCTCTTCTAGGTATAGACAGTGAAACCCTTACTAACTCTCAAATTTACACTTGAAGGTGATAGCTGAGAACAAGGAAAGCCCTCTCAGAGTCTAAAGCATATGACTCAAAGAACATGAGCTAAAGCTCTTGCCCTTTTCTAACAGGATCTTTATTTGCTCTATTTAGGCAAAATTTCAACATGCTTGGTTAACTGATTGTTCAACTTAAAGCATATTAGAAGACTAGATGGCAAGGGACAGGCAGTAGGAATATATTAAGAAATGATAATACATTCATTCAACACACAACATCACTGACACATCTTAAAAACAGTGAGAAGTAATAAATATAAAGAACAGAATCATCTATATCAGTCTATATCTATATATATCTATGTCTATATCTGAATCTATATATGTTGTTGTTAGGTGCCATCAGTCTTCTCTGACTCATAGTGACTCTATGCACAGCAGAATGAAACACTGCCTGGTCCAGGGCCAGCTCCATGATGCTTGCTATACTTAAGCCCATCACCGCTGCCACTGTGTCAATCCATCTCATTGAGGGCCTTCCCCTCTTTTGTCGACCCTCCACCTAATCAAGCATGACATCCTTCTCCAGGGAATGGTCCCTCTGACAACATGACCAAAGTAGGTGAGACAAAGTCTGGACATTCTCGCCTCCAAGGAACATTCTGGCTGTACTTCGTCCAGGAGAGATCTGGTAGTTCTTTTAGCAGTCCATGGTACTCTCAGCATTCTTTGCCAACACCACAACTCAAAAGCATCAATTCTTCTTTGGTCTTTCTTATTCATTCTCCAGCTCTCACATGCATATGAGGTGACTGAAAATACCATAGCTGTGTCAGGCTCACTTTAGTCCTCAATGAGACATCTTTGCTCTTCCACACTTGAAAGAGGTCCTCTGCAGCCAATTTACCCAATGTCATACATTATCTGTAAGGAGCTCTGGTAGCATAGAGCCCAAGGCACTTGACTGTTAACCAGAAGGCTGGTGGTTCAAACCCACCAGCCACTCCTTGGAAGAAAGATGGGGCAAACTACTTCTGTAGTGATATCGCCTCAGAAACCCAAGGAGGGGTTGCTATGAGTCAGGTCTGACTCAAGGGCACATCACAACAACAAAATACATTGTCTAATGTCCTGACTGCTGTTTCCACTGGCGTCGATTGTAGAACCAAGCAATGTGAAGTCTTTGACAACTTCACTCTTTTCTCCATTTATCATAATGCTGCTTATAGGTCCAGTTGTGAAGATTTTTGTTTTCTTTATATTGAGATGTAATCCATACTGCAGACTGTATTCTTCAATCTTCATCAGTAAGTGCTTCAAGTCACCCTCACTCTCAGCAAGCAAAGTTTTTCATCAGCATATCTCAGGTTGTTAATGATTCTTCCTCCAATCCTGATGCCATGTTCTTCTTCACATAGTCCAGCATCTCAGATTATTTGCTCAACGTATAGATTAAATAAGTATGGTGAAAGGCTGAAACCCTGACACACTCCCTTCTTGATTTTTGACCATGCGGTGTCCCTTTGCTCTGTTGAACAACAGCCTCCTGGTCTATGTACAGGTTCTTCATGAGTACAATTAAGTGTTCTGGAATTCCCATTCTTTTCAATGTTATCCACAGTTTGTTATGAGCCACACAATTGAATGCTTTTGCATAGTCAATAAAACACAAGTAAACATCTCTCTAGTATTCTTTGCTTTGAGCCAGGATCCATCTGACATCAGCAATGATATCCCTTGTTCCACATCCTCTTCTGAATCCAGCTTGTATTTCTGGAAGTTCTCTGTCAATATACTGCTGCAACCATTTTTGGTTTATCTTCAGTAAGATTTTACTTATATGCGATATTAATGATATTGTTTGATAATCTCCACATTCTGTGGGATCACCTTTCTTTGGAATGGGTACAAATATGGATCTCTTCCAGTCAGTTGGCCAGGTAGCTGTCTTCAAATCTCTTGGCATAGCTGAGTGACTGCCTCCAGCGGGGCATCCGTTTGTTGAAACATCTCAATGGGTATATTCTGCCAATACCTGGAGCCTTGTTCTTTCCCAATTCCTTCAGTGCAGCTTAGACTTCTTCCTTCAGTATCATTAGTTCTAGAACATATACCACCTTCTGAAATCAATGAAGATCTACCAGTCCATTTTAGTACAGTGACTCTGTGTATTCCTTCAATCTTCTTGTGATGCTTCCTGCATCATTCAATATTTTGCCCATAGAATCTTTCAATATTGCAATGCAAGGCTTAAAGTTTTTTTCTCAGTTCTTTCAGCTTGAGAAATGCTGAGAGTGTTCTTCCCTTTTGGTTTTCTAACTCTAGGTCTTTGCACATTTCATTACAGTAATTGGCTTTGTCTGCTCAAGCTGCCCTTTGAAATCTTCTCTTCAGCTCTTTTGTCTTGTCATTTCTTCCATTTGCTTTAGCTAGTCTTCACTCAAGGGCAAGTTTCAGAGTCTCTTCTGACATCCATTTTGGTCTTTTCTTTCTTTCGCGTCTTCTTAATGACTTCTTGCTTTCTTCATGGATGATGCTCTTGATGTCATCCCATAATTCTTCTGGTTTTCAGTCATTGGTGTTCAATGCATCAAACCTATTCTTTAGGTGG